TAGTTCACCCAGGGAGTGGTACACATCACCCCTGTCACCATCGTCACTGTTAATCCAGCTGCCTCCTAATGCATCTCCCTTCCTCCACTCTTGTCCACGCCTAATCCATTCTGTTCCCAGCACCCAGGAGACCTTCCAATGGCTGCCCTGCTTGCCTGTCGGCAGGATAAGAACAAATTCCTTAATTTAATCTGCAAGACCTTTTTAAACTGGCTTTATTTTATGCTTGTTTTAGATCTCATCACAGAGGCAGTGACTGCCATAACCGTTTTTGTAAGATCTTATTATTAAACTAATACAAGTTCATTATAAGAAGGAAAAAAAAAAACTACCCATGGTTCCACTATTATCATTTTGGTTTTGTTCACTGATTTTTTAAGGCATATGTAGGCTGAAGTAAAAGTAGTCTTATAGTGTTTGCATGGAAAATAAATGCAAGAATCTATATATATTAAAAAGGCTAATATGCTAAGTGTCCGACCATCTGACCCATCACTATGACTGACGCACACTGACCACCATGGGATAGACACTCAGTGCAGGAGCTGCCAAGCTGCAGTGACTTGGCAGTTGTGGTTCTCGAGTGATGCACCTCGAAACCAGAGAGGAGGGAGCCCGGTTCCTCGCGGGGCTGTGCGATTCCACCTTCTGCTGTTGGTTATGTTGTTGCTGGGGCACTGTTGGCCCCAAATCTGGCTTACTGCCACTTGCGTTTTTATTCCACACCCTGTACAACAGCAACTTTGCAGAGTGCCCTCTCGCACTCCAGGATCTCTTGGGGGAAGTCGGAGAGCTCGTTTCAGCCTGATCCCCACAGGCTAGTCTGAGAGACCCCACCTACCGGCGGGGCCCCAGCTCACTCCACAGAACCAGGGGAGGGACCGCGGGAGGTTGGCTCCAGGGCATGTCTGGCCCATCTCTCCCAGTCCCACCCCGCCAACCACCTTCTGATCAATTTCCTTTCAATGTGCACAACTCCGTGCACCAGGTCACTAGCTGATAAATAACAAGACAAGAATAAACTGGGTTTCATATACCCACAGCTGTATACCTACGCTTGCCCCACCCTGAATAGCTATAATCCAATTAAATATGTTACCTTGTCTGTAGGGATTGTTTTGTTTTGCTTTTTAAAAGTATGCACAAATATATGTTTGCTGTTTAAAAATATACCACGTAACAGGCCCCATTCATAATTTAAAACGCAATTATTTCTCCGAAACCCCCTCATCTCAATCCCTTCTTTATGTCTGTGTTTGTTAGTAGAAATGCAAGCATTTTATTCAGCTTTTTTTCAGTAACATTATATCATAAGCATTTTCTCATAACATTAATAGTTTGTAGGCATTTTAATGGTTGCGTATTAATAGTGATAGTAGTAGGTACCACGCGTTAACTACTGCCTGCCTCGCACACAGTTGCTATCTTACACAGTCCTCTTTTGATGGACGAGGGAGCTGTGTCATTGTTCTGCCTCTCCCACGGATACCTACCTCACCATGTGGATATGTGACAATTAATCATTAACCAGTCTTCCCCCATTGCTGGACAATTATGGTTTCTTATTTTTCTCTATTATAAATAATGTAGTGACTATCATAGTGTGGTAGTCCGTGTCCGCATTTCAAATTGTTTTCTAAGATTTCTGGAATGGAATCTTGTTACTTTTTGACATAAGTTGTCAGTTGCCTTCCTGAAAGGTTATCGTACCAATTTAAAGGGAGTGATTAACTCTAAGGGGACAGAAAGGAGAGAACGGGAGTGACATTTCACAGAGGAGGTGACATTTGAGCTGGCTCCTGCAGGATGAGTAGGGCTTTGCCAGAAGAGAGGCAGAGGGGGCCCAAGCATCTCCAAAGGAAAGGAAGTGAGAGCAGAGGCACCCGGGCACGAGGGAGCCCTCACCCTAAGAGAGGCGGTCTGTTCCCTTTGCGGATTTGCCACCAGAAACCCTAGTCAGTGAATTATTTTAGAGTTGGCAGGGAAGAGAATCAGAATAGAGTCACAAGAGAAACTTAAAATTCTAATATCCGACTTTGCCCTTGTGTCTATTTTATAAACCATCTCCAATGAAAGTTCCTTTGAAGTCCTGAGACATTCGTGTTAGTCTGTTTCTTTTTTCCTTCCCCCAAAGGGAGAACACATCCCCTGAGGATTTAGTATAACTGGGAAGCAGATGTAACCTCTCTGGCTCCAGCTGCTGCCCTGAACTTAAAGGAGCAGGAACAGCACATGTGACATGAGACCTGATGTGTATAGGGTTCATGACCAGTGTCCTTCCAGTTCTGTGCAATAAGGAGAATACCATCAGCTTCGTGCATTTGATAAGATTTATATCCATTTGCTTGATAAAAGGGATAAAAGTAACTTTCCTATTTTTAAATGTAGGGTAGATGCCAGGCACTAGTGAGTCAAATGCTGCAATAATGTAGAGCTGTAGTCGGGTTTCAGCATTTATCTGAGCAAGGTGTGCCTACAGGTGCTGAAAGCTGAGGGAGAGAGTGGCAGGCTGAGAGAGCAGGTCAGAGAACAGGTCAGAAAGCTGTGAAACAGAAGCCTGCAGCCCGGTCACAGGTTTCCACGGGCCACTTCTCACTCATGCTGTCCTCACGGCTGGAAATGTGGGATGGTCAGTAAGCCACCGCGGATCATATTTTGAAGGAGACAGCTTATGAATTATAAATTGAGTAATAAAATATTTCTAAATCTGCCAAAGTACCTTCAGGACAAATAGGATTTTCTTTTGCATCTGATGTTTATGCTGCTCGTGTGAAGATTTAAAAATAGCTGGCATTTGTGGTGTTCATGGAGTGAACTGCCTCAAAACCTAACTATGAAATAGAATTTGAAGGAATTAGGGAAACATGAGTTACAGGCTGTCTATAACTTTCTACCTTTCTGCTTTTAAAGAAATATAATAATGGGAATAGATGAAGTGATCCAGTAGATGATTAGGTTTCATTGATAGCTAGGAAATGAAATCTTTATCTTCGGCATTGTCATACACATACATGACCATGGCTCTAGACATTACCTGTCAAAATTGGTGTGGTCTATCTTCCCACTGTCTCCTGTTCTGCAAATGTCTCCTCTGAAGGGAGCCAGTAAGTGGAAATAGGACTCCTCATTACCACCAGGGGAGCCTTAGGGACCAAAAGAGTACTTTCCTTTTAAGGTTTCAGCAAGCTATTGATTGGATAATATTTATAACACTCTTAACATTGTGCTACCACTTCCTAATGATGGAAGTGGGAGGAGGAGTTGTTATTTTTGTTTTATTATTATTGTGGTCATTATTTAGGTTATTTTATTATTTTTACTTCCATTCCTGCCTTTCTAGTCTCACCAGTCCTCACAAAGGAAGACTGGATCTTAATAATATTTACCTGTCTGTGGAAGGCTGGATCTTAATAATATTTAACTGGCTGTGGAAGGCAGGCTGGTGTTTGATGAGACACAGGAAATATGAAAATGTGCCCTCCGGGCCAGGTGTGCAGCTCTCACCCAGACACGAATTGCTGTGTAATTAGGGCATCATAGGCGATGAACTTCATCTGAAAGGGAAACTCCTGCCCATTCACAATTTATGTCCTAAAACTGTCTGGGATCTTTATCAAAAGTTCTTCACCGACTTAAACATTTTTAAATCACCTGCTAATGGAAGCCTATGGAAAAGAACAGTCTTAATCTGCAACTTAACATTTCTCTGCAGCAACTCTGTGTCCACCTCTTGATTCCTTTAAGTAATATTTGTTGCCTAAAACACAAAATCTCCTCACACAGTCTGCCGTTACTTGCTTCTTCTCAAGCAGCCATAGGTTTGGGGATCTAAACCATCTGTTTTTCTTCTTACTCCTAGCTCTGGCCCTTTTTCTAATAGACAGCATGTCCTCTCTGGTGTATTTGTAAAGAAGAAATCTTTTTAAAATAGCATATTAAAAAGTGTAAAGTTATGTTATTTACTTGAATCAAAATGTTTAAATAATGTACCATATATAAATCTTTTTAAATACTCAAAGCATATATATATATATATATATATATATATATATATATATATATGCCAAGAGACCAGAACACTGGAATGACCGGCTATGATGTGCACTGCAGCTGGCCAATCGGCCCAATAGGGGGATCGCCCCTCCCTCCGGCCGGCCCCAGCCAGATTGGAGGCCCAGCTGGCTGGCCAATCTCCTGTGGACCCTCCCCTCAGCCAGCTCCTCCTCCCAACCAGCCCACCTCTGATGTCCCACCCAGCCCAATTGGGGGCAGAGCCAGCTGGCTATCCTCCCATGTCCCTTCCCCCCTGCTGGCCCAGCCCAATCAGGCTCCTTTAAGGGGGACCAGCCAGACCCCACCTTTGCATGAATTCATGCACCAGCCTCTATAAAAATAGCTTACATTAAAGGTTAGTTTGCATTGCTACTATGATTGCCATGGTAACTGAATTTTTATTGCTACCATTGATGAAGGTGATTTCTGTTCAGTTTCTATTAATTATAAAGTTCTAACCTAGGGGGGAAAAAAACGCTCATGTAATGTGTTGTTCTTCCATAAAACTTTTCTTATCCCTCAAATTTCCAGTTCTCTTCATCTTTCTTATGCTCAAGGCTTTTATCACTTAACTCTTTCTATCCACTTAGCTATCACTTATTCACCTTTTATCATTTAATATTCTCTTTAATTTTTTCATAGGTTTTTGTGTTAACTTCTCTAATTTATTGTAAGCTCCTTGATGAGAGATACCTAATAGCAGGATTATATTGTACACCAAGCATGTCAAACTCGTGGCCCAAGAGCCTCATGCCTCGTTTATTTGGCCGGCATTGGCCTTTGAGTTTGACATGTTTGTTTACACCATGTGCCACAGATAGTTGTTCATTGACGGGAGTTATAATCAACTTCATCTATTCATTCAGATTTCACTGAATGTCTTTAATGCCACATCAAAATTAATGCATATGTACAGTATCTGAAATGTGCATCCATTTCTCCCTCAGGTCTATCAGCTTCAAGGCATCCCCAAGCTTCTGCACCTCCTAAAAGTTCAGAATGAAGATATTCAGAGAGCCGTGTGTGGGGCCTTGAGAAACTTGGTCTTTGAAGACAATGACAACAAGTTGGAGGTAGCTGAACTCAATGGGGTACCTCGGCTGCTGCAGGTGCTGAAGCAAACCAGAGACTTGGAGACTAAAAAACAAATAACAGGTAGTGTTTACTGAATCTTAAAGTGTAGAGACAGTGCACCTCAGCCAGATGTGTTTTGTCATCTCTTTTTCTTAAGTTTCCTGGGACAAATGATTGACGGGCTCATTGTTATTAGAGAGATGGCTTTTAAGGAACATTGTCACCTGCTGGCTAAGACCCCAGGTCCAAGTCAAGTTTGAATTCCTTTTCTTCTAAAGAAGAAATTACAGTGAACTTTGTAACGCGGTTTCAATATTGTCTAAAACATTCTGAAGAAACCCAACAAGAACCACACTCAATTTATTTTATTATTTACTCAATATTGTATTTGCTAAATCTATACAAAGAAAGTAAATTAGTCAAATAGTGTCCTAACATAGAGGGTCAGTTTAATCAAATTAACCAAAATACAGTAACTTTATTTCCCAATCCTTCTATCACCTGAGCCCCTCAAAATACCAGCTTCCCAACCCACCTAGCCCTCCGCCCCAAAAGAGAAAAAGAACAGAGTGGCTGGATATGTGTTCCAATTCTGGACAAAAGAGTATCTTCTTTCTACCCGATGTGTTTTACACAAGGAAACTAAAACCCAAAGAAGTTAACCCTTTTAATATATTAATGTTTTTTCAATAGTTATATTGACTATTTTTACTTTAAAATGAGGTACTTCATAAATGTGGTTTTAAGTTGAATATATTGTGCTTATGCCATCCACACTTTATTATACAACAACTTTCTTTTTTCTATAAAATTATTATATCCTCTCTACTTATTTATATCTTAAAATATCACATTTTTTCTATCTTGATGTATTTTAATTTTATAAAACTATATGAAGGTTTGTACCATGTTACTCTTCTGCCTGCCTGCTATCATGCCCTATGGCATAGTTCCTTTTATATTTATGAATCATATTAAAATAGCTACAGAAATTGAGTGATCTTGATACCCATTCATTTATTCAGCCAACATATACAGGGCAGCCTACCAGGGCTAGGCAGTGAAAGTCACAATCCAGATAGGTGTTGTGGCTTTTACTTTCCAGCCATTAACACATGAACAATGTGTAATGGTTGGTATTTAAAAAAAATGCCTCACATTTAGAACCTAACATTTCTTCATTAAAATATAGTAATGAACCACAAGAGAGAATCAGATTATATTGTTTTACAATTTAAAAAAATAAAAGAATTCATGAAGGAGGTATATTTCAATGTAGACCTAAAAAGGGGGTAGGCTTTGGGCTGATGTTTTGAAGGAGAATGAAAGTTATTCCCAGCAAAGAGAACATCCCTATTAGCAAAGCAAAGACACAGAAAGAAGCTGCTGGTCATGAAGAGGAAGCTTGGATAAGAGTGACTGAGGTTAGGGTACCGTGGTTGCTAGAAAGCTTAGGAGGATGTGTGGGTGTGTATCAAAGAAGTAATTCATTGAATCAGACTTCCTCTTCTTTTGTATAGGAAAATAGGAAACTGAGGTCAGAGAACATGGTGTGGTATTGCTGCCATGGGAACCATTCAGTCATCTTTAGATCAACTACAGAGCTGGTCCATGGAGTTTGCTTGTGCTAGTCCCAGGACTTCAAATACAAGCCAAGCATTCCTGCCAGAGGGTGTTCATTATATGTTCATTGAATGGAGCCAATACTTGAATGTTTGATACAAATCCTTCTAAAAAAACTTCCTTTAGTTCTATTAGTAGAAAAGTTAAATAAGTGATTTCCTGGCCTCAGAAATAAGTTGTTGACTTAAATAGGCATGTTTATATCTTTTGTTTGAAGCACAAAGTGAGTAGCCATATATGTGAATCTCTTCTTGTCTATTTCATAAACATTCTTTTATTGAGTCCCTATTATGTGCTAGTCACTAAGCTTGGGCTTTTCCTTTTTCATGTCTGTTCCTCCTGACAGTTCCAAAAGGTATTATTGATAATTTATATGTGATCAATGTGAGGTTTAGGGGGGTTAAGTAAATGCTCCAAGGTTACACAGTTAGTAAAGAAAAAGTCCAGTTTTATCTGGGTGTTTTGCTCTATCAAAGTGTCTTCCACTGACAGTGTGGGGGTACGGGGTGACTAATCTTGACTCATCTTTGGGAAGGGGCTTATCTTTGGGAATCCCGGAGGAGAGAGCTCTCCCTCACTTCTCTTTGGCTCCCTCTCTCCTCTTCTCACTGCCTGGATGCAAGACAACAGTGGCAAGATAACGAGACAGAAGGGAAACATGAAACATTTCCCACTCTCTGTTCGTTCTGCTCTTGTGTAACCTCGGATCCGGCCTCTGTGACTAGGTATCGCACAATCCCTGTCTGCCCACCACTCTGCTAGTGATTTCTTTCTAAAATGAAAATATTGTCTCATTACTCCCCCCATTGCCTATGAGGTAAAGTCTGTCCTCTGTACATGCCACACACAGACTTTATTATCTGAGCCTGAGGACCTTGGCAGCAGTGTCTCCTCTCGTACTCCTCCAGCCCGATTTCTGCAATTGTTCAAGGACCCGCCCGTGTTTCATGTTTCCCTTTATCTCCATATCTTGCCACTGTTGCCTTGGTCTGGCATCCTGTTCTACACCTAGAACCTTTGATAGCTGTCTGAAGCATCACTTCTCTGAAGTATTTTCAAAAGCCATCCCTCTATTTACTTTCTCCCCCTCCCTCTTGGTTTTGAAGGAAGGGGCTTCTCTGATCTACCTTTGCATCCTTTAATGTTAGGTTGCCACTCACTTCCTGTCTGTCTGTTTATTGCCATAACACTGTGGTACTCATGTAAGATTCTCACCAACTGTCTGACCAAGTACTTTACAAAACCAGACTTGTGGCCTGGAAAGATTTGGATTTTACATAAATAAGAGAAACAGGTGTGTTTGCAGACAAGACCTTGAGTTTTCTAACCAAGTTATTAATAGAACCGTCAATTTATATGTTCTCTCCCTCTCTCTCTCTCTCTCTCTCTCTCTCTCTCTCTCTCTCTCTCTCTCTCTCTCTCTCTCTCTCTCTCCCCCCCTCTCCCTCTCTCCCTCTCCCTCTCTCCCTCTCTCCCTCCTTCCCTCCTTCCCTCCTTCCCTCCCTCCCTCTATCAGAGCTTTGTTCCCTATAGAGAATGTCAACTCACTGAACTTTCTGGCATTTTCTGTGCCTTGGAGAGCTCTTTCTTCTTCCAGTGAAAAGACTTGAGGATCGTAGATCTCTCCCCCTGTGAGAGAGTTTCCCCCTCCTTACCAGGGAATGTGGCAGTGTACTTTGATTGAAATGAGAACAGTACATACTAGTCTCAGAGATTCATTTTCAAGGTCACTGAGGAATGAGCACTGGCTGTCGTGTGGTGTGTATGGCTCTGCTTTGGATTAAAACAGACAGGTGATAAGATTTAGGAGGTCCCTCTTTTGCATATGACAAGGAAGAGTCAGGGGAAGACTGTCAATGAAACTTGTTGAGATTTTATTTTAACCTCTCTGTGTTTTATAGAAGTACTTTTTTGTATTGCTGTATTTTCATAAGATATCAAAACCATTTTTTCTATAAAATATTCATTGTGCACCTTCTTTAAATAATTGTATATTCTTTTTTTCTGCATTTGTAATGTGCAACAAGATACCTTGGGTTTGCTTTTAACTTGGAATAATGGCCTTTGTGGTAATGTTATCCCAGGTAAAATTTTATCCCAGTTAAAATTTATAAAATTTAGGTGAAAGAAGGGTATGTCCTTACAAAGGAGATTGTTTTAAAAAAAAAAAAAATCCTCATGCTCTGTGATTACTTTGAAAAACAAAGTTAAGGTTTGGCTCAGTGAATAGAGTGTTGGCCTATGGACTGAAGGGTCCCAAGTTCAATTCTAGCCCAGAGCACCTAGGTTGCAGGCTTGATCCCCAGCCCTGGTCAAGGCACATGAAGTAGGCAGCCAATCGATGTATCACTCTCTGATCGATGTTTCTCTCTGTCACTTCCTCTCCCTTCCATCTCTAAAAACAATGGGAAAATATTCTCAAGTGAGGATTAATAAAAATAAATAAATAAATAAATACCTAAAACCTCTAGTTCTTTTCCTGCTCCCCTCCCCTTCTGCACTGAAGAGAAGGATTCATTTAATCATAAAATTTGCACATTTTGCTACCTCATTGTCATGCAGACTTAGTGAAATAATTATACTTCCAGTCTAGTGAAATAACTATACTTCCAGTTATATCTGTAAGATATTAAAATATAGGTTATATCTGTAAGATCCCTTTACAGATCACTAGTTAGCTATGTTTTGCAAATATCACAGTTGACAATAAATTTTTAGATAATGCAGTTACCATTATTGCTAGTTATTCAAAGTTTATCTCTTATTAGAATCTAGTTCCCTTTCTTTTTTGCTAGAATGAGAACTTAGTGATAGAAACAATAGGCAGAACAGCTACAACAAAGAACTATAATAATAGAAATTTAGACACTATGAATAAATTACCCAGAAGTTCAAGGTAAGACAAATGAAAACCTAAACTCTAAACATTATGTCAGGGAGCTTAGAATCAGATCATTGAAAGGAACATCTATTCAGGGTCATCTAGTCCACTAGTTTCCCTATACCAGAAATGGGAATCGTTTTGAAAATATGAGTTCCTGGAATTCATCCTGAGATTCTGGCTCAGTCAGTTTGGGGTGTAGCCCAGGAATATGTGGTTCTGATTTGCCACTGGGCTCTTTTGGGAACTGCTAGTTGAGTCTAAAACACAGGTTTCAGAATAAAGCCCTCTCGTCAATATTTTGGTAAAAGATGAGCTCATTTTTATCAGCTCCGATGATAGAGCTGGATCTTACAAGCAGATCTTTCTGTTTTCTTCAGAGCTCTCTTAGAAGTTTATGCTTTTAGTGAGCCAAAAATCTCCTTCCCAAAATGTCTACTCATTGGTTCTGGTTTCACCTGCTATAATCACATAAAATGACTTTTTGCTGTTGAATTTGCATTTCTTCAGTTACTAGAGAACATGCATTCCTATGTATATTACACTCTAATATCTGTTAACTTTAGGTTAATTTTTGTATTAGGTATTGGATTTTAAAAATTTATAAGAACTATGTATATTAAGAGTATTAACTCTTTGTTTCATATGGTCGTCATACATGTTTTCTCAGTTTATAATTGATCATTTGTTGGTTTTGTGTGTATATGTGTGAGGGTGTATTGTAAGTGTGTATAATCTTGCATCTCTGTTGAGCATTTAAGCTCTTTCCTAGCTTCCTGCCGTACAGAAATTTAACAGGCATGATATTTCTGTACAATACCCTACATTAAAAATTCAAAAATTATGTGTACTGACACCCCAAACCATAGAAATAGCATAGAAATAATAATTGCATGTCAAGCTATAAAGGATATTGAAAGAAAATTCCACTCCCTTTGTTCAAATTAATCTTCCCTGGCTTTTATTGTAGGTGTACTTTTCCTTTGCATGCCCTGTGTGGTCCTTAATAAAAAGGAAAGTATTATGCTTCACACTTTTAAGCCTCTAGCAGGAAGAAACTCTTTTTTTTTTAATTGGGATGATATTGATTAATAAAATTAAGTAGGTTTCAGTGAACAATTCTACAGTATATCATCTGTATATTGTCTTGTGTGTTCACCACTGCAAGTCAAGTCTCCTTCCGTCATCACAAGCAGAGACTCTTTAACTTGTTTGCTTATCTAGAACAGGAAGCTTTTTTCCCTTTTCTCTTTTTAACTTTCTCTGGTATCTTAGTAACCAGAACTCTACCTCAGACCTGCCTTTAATTGTTTTCAACCACCTCGAGTTTTATTCTGTCTCTTGCCCTTCCAGGGCCTCTTAAGGTGAAGTGGGAGGAATGAAGTCATTGTGTTGCAAAACCTGTGGCTGAGGGACACTGAGGGTGACTAACTCCAATGCTAGTTGGATCAGGAAGAGACCTCTTCATTCGCCAGAATTCTAGTCCTTACAAGACTGAGACCCAGTGTCGCCGTATCTAATGGAAACTAAGTGTAGGTTGCAGTGGAAATCTGGTTATTGTTTTAGAAATTAGTCACTTGTACACAGCCAAAGTACATTGTTTAAACACAGAAGACTGCACTAAGCCTAGCGTGTTCTAATTGATGAGCCAACTACAAGTGTGGTTGAATAATTACCAAGCTTTAACTGCACAGACTTATTTCAGTCCTTAATGTTAGAGGAGATGATATCACCACATAATTCAGTCAAGACTGCCATCTTTGCTTTTTTTTTTTTTTTCTTTTCATAAGTAGACTGTCTTGTATTCCTATGCTTCCTCTTCCCTTTCATTCAGACAGAGCAGTACCTTTAACCCATGGGAGTTATTGACTGGGCAGTGGGAGAGTGAATGGGCAAGAAAATGAAGATCCCTTCTCTTCCTGCTCCCCCTCTCCCTCGCTTCCTGAATGCTAGTGAGTTAAAGAAGATTGCTGAGGGTATGAAAGATGGCCAGGCAACTTTATACCTTCTGAGGGTCACTGGAATAGCGAGCAATAGGCATGTAGTCCTTCCACTGAATCAGAGGTATTTGAGCAAAAAATTTATAAGAAAAAAAAATCCTAAATGTATATACCATATTGTATTCTTTCTCACTACCCAGCTTGACTGTCTCACAAATGCCTGGAAAGTACAGTATCTTATTATCTTAATTTTTCCTGAGTTGGCTTGTATGGCCTTTCTCTCTTATGGTATGGGATGGGGAGAGTTCATAAAAAAAAAAAAAAAAGGGGGAAAATTAAATGAGCAACTATGGTACCCGTCTTAGACCAATTCTCAGGCCATACAAGTTGGCAGATAGATAAAATACTCTTGTCTCTCCTTCGTTGCCAAACTATAAATATAAGAAATAGGTGAGGTAGCTAGCATAAATTCCAGGAGGACATAAACTCTATCACTAGGTCAGAGTCAATAAGTAGTAATTGGCAGAGTTGATCAGCCTACTTTTGCCAGGCATAAACGTAGTTGGAGGCTTTCCTCAGGCTCTTCCTGTGAGTATTGGGAGGCAAACATGAGGTGGAAGTTGCCGGTCATGAGGAGCAGGAGACAAAGTGGCATATTCTCTCCATGCATCTAAGGGAGAAAAATAGGACCCTTTGAAAATGTTGAAGTTAGTTATAATAGGGTCATTGCAAATCTCTCTCTTGGTAGCTCAGAATTTATTATTTCAGTGAGCTCAGCTTATGGTAGGGGCTTAAGAGAAGTGGCAATAAATGTTGAAGGATTTCATTCACATTCCTGATGAATTTAAATTTGCGTAGTTTTATATTATAAGCTCTCTTCCCCTCCCCATTCTCTATCTATCTATTTTTCAATTGTTCTTATGGATCCGCTTCCATTGCCATTTAATTACCTCTAAATAAATTGTTTCAATTGGAAAAGGGGCTGTCTCCCTAGCCCCACCTTTTTTGTTTATAGCTAGTCGTAGCCCTAGAAGTGATTGCCCTAACTGATCTTTTCAGCAGTTCTTTTGACCCAATCCTGCACTGTTTTGATTCTAGGTTTGCTGTGGAATTTGTCCTCTAGTGACAAACTCAAGAATCTCATGATAACGGAAGCCTTGGTGATCCTGACTGAAAATATCATCATCCCCTTTTCGGGGTGGCCAGAAGGAGACTACCCCAAAGCAAATGGTTTGCTCGATTTTGATATATTCTACAATGTCACAGGATGCCTAAGGTAATGCCACTCTGCAATCCCTCTCTACGCTTCTCCCACACCCTCTCCCCATACACACACACACACTTTTCTCTTTGTACCTTAAATACTATATTCATGTCTGCCTAAAACTCTACCCTATGACTGGTAAGGGGAAGCTGTGAGACTATAGATTATTCTAACTACTAGAACCACTGTATAGAGACAATGAGAAAGGTTCAAATATCAATAGAGTATTGTTTCCTAACATTCAATTTCAGAAGCTACCCACATTAGCTCATAAGAGAGCGGACGTTATTTTCATAGAGAACCCAGGTATCTGATCTGAACACCTAGAGGTCCATGCAGACTGGCCTTTCTTGTCTCACAGGTTTTAAAGCAGTTTTCATGCTATTTGTAATTCACAAAAATCTGCTCTTATGACATGGCTGAGACATAATTTTGAACCTGGTGTTCTATTATTTTTATTTTTTATTGAGGTATAGTTGACCTACATTATATTATTTTCAGGTATATAGCATAATGATTTGTTATTATATGTATTATGAAATGATCACCACAATAAGTCCAGTTAGCATCCATCACCATATATAGTTGCAGAATATATTTTCTTGTAATGAGAACTTTTAAGATTTACTCTTACATATGCAATACAATTATATAGTCACCATGCAGTACATTACATCCCTAGTACTTACTTCTTTTATATTTTTTCTTATTTATTGATTTGAGAGAGAGAAAAAAGGAAAAAAAAACTGATTTGACTTATTTATGCATTCATTGGTTGATTCTTATATGTGCCCTGACTGGGGATCAAACCTGTAACCTTGGCATATTGGGAGGGTGTTCTAACCAACTATGCTACCCAACCATGGCCTGTATTTACAACTTTTGGCACCTTTCATAAATGTTGCTAACACCTTCTATCCCCCAACTCCTCTCCCACCTTCAACAGTCTGTTCTCTATATCTATGATTTTGGTTTTGTTTTGGTTTTTAGATTTCATATATAGCTGATATTAGACAATATTTGCCTACGTCTGCTTGACTTTTTTCAGTTAGCATAGTGCTTTCAAGATCCATCCATGTCATCACAAAAGGCAAAATTTCCTTCTTTTTTTATGGCTAAATAATATTGCATTGTGTATGTGTATGTGTCTGTGTGTGTGTGTGTCTGTGTAAGTGCATACCACATTTTCTTTATCCATTCATCCATCTATGGACACTTAGATTGTTTATACATCTTGGCTATTCTGAATAATGCTGCAGTGAAGATGAGGCTTCATATATCTTTTTGAGTAAGTGTTTTAAGATAAACACCCAGAAGTGGAATTACTGGATAATAGGGTAGTTCTCATTTTAATTTTCTGAGGGACCTCCATACTGTCTTCTATAGTGACTGCACCAACTTGTCATTTTTACTAACAGTGCACAAAGGTTCCTTTTTCTCCTCATCCTCCCAACCCTTATCTGTTCACATTTTGATGATAATCATTCTAATAGGTGTGAGGTGATAGTTCATTGTGGTTTTGATTTTTATTCCCTGATGATCAGAGATATTGAGCATCTTTTGTTGTTGACTTTTCCTTTGGTGTCAAATCCCAAAAATCATTGCCAAGACCAATGTGAGAGAGGTAGCCTATATTTTATTCTAGGAGTTTTATGGTTTCAAGTCTTTAATTTATTCTACAATTAATTTTTGTGTCTGGTCCAGTTTTATTCCTTTGCAGGTGGCTATTAGTTTTCCCAGCACCATCGATTGAAGAGACTTTGCTTTCTCCATTGTATATTCTTGACTCTTTATTGTAAATTAATTGACCATATATGGGTGGGTTTATTTCTGAGCTCTCTATTCTGTTCCATTGATCTATTTGTCTGTTTTTATGTCAATTCCCATACTGTTTTTTTTAATACCATACTGTTTTAATTAATTTAGCTTTATCATTTAGTATGAAATCAGGAAATGTGTTAACTCCAACTTTGTTATTATTTCTCAATACTGCTTTGGCTAATTGGGGTCTTCTGTGATTCCATACATATTATAGAATTTTTTTTATTTCTATGAAAAATGCCTTTGGAATTTTTTAATCCTCACCTAAGGATATGATTTTTCCCCCCATTGATTCTAGAGAGAGAAAAGCAGAGGGAGAGATAGAGAAGCATTGATGTTAGAGTGAAACATCAATCATTGCCTCCTGCATAATCCCCATCAGGGACCAAGTCCACAACCAGGCATATGCCCCACCCAGGAATTGAACCCACACCGCTTTGGTGCACAGAATGTGATGTCCAACCAACTGAGGCACACTGAATTTTTATATGGATCATATTGAGCCTGTGTATTGCTTTTGGTAGTGTGGACTTAACAATATCAGCCGTTCCAATCCACAAGAGTGTGTTATATCTTTCCCTCTATGTACTATGTCTTATTTAGTGTCTTACAGATTTCACTTTCTTGTTTAAATTTTTGCTGGGTGTTTTTAAATATCTATAAGGTAACATTGCCTGAAGGGACAGAATGTCTTGCCATAAGAACCTACAAAGAAGCTAATTTGATCAGCATTTTCTTTTTTTTTTCTTTTTTTTAAATATATTTTATTGATTTTTAACAGAGAGAAAGGGAGAGAGATAGAGACAGTGAAGAAACATTGATGAGAGAGAAACATCGACCAGCTGCCTCTTGCACACCCCCTACCGGGGATGTGCCCGCAACCAAGGTACATGCCCTTGACCGGAATCGAACCTGGGACCTTTCAGTCCTCAGACCGACGCTCTACCACTGAACCAAACCGGCTTCGGCTGATCAGCATTTTCTAATATTGGGATGAAAAATGCTTGAAATGTTATTTCCCTTTGGGTTGTCACATGACAACTAAATCAAGAAGAAATAGATTCCTCACCAGTTTGATTCAGTGGTTAGAGCATCAGCCCAAGGACTGAAGGGTCTCTGGTTTGAGGGCACATACCTCGATTGCAAGGCTCGTACCCTGGACCTGGTCCAGCTGCATACAAGAGGCAATCAACCCATGTGTCTTTTATATAGATGTTTCTCTCTCTGTCTTTCCCCCTCCCTTCCACTCTCTCTAAAAATCAATGGGAAATTTTTCCTTGGGGGAAAGGGGAGAAGGAGAATAGAAGCACATGCAAGAGGAAGAAAAATGCTAGTCTTAACTTCTCTAGATTCATGCATATCAAGCTTTCTCATATTTGAAAATATTCAAATATGTTCAAGGATTAAAAGAAATTAGATGGAGTATGTAATAAAAATTAGGCAGCCCCAAAGAAGTCAAGATGTATTCTGCCTTTCAATCTTTTCTGTAGTTACAGAGTTCATTTTGTTGTAGTTTTTAGGGAATCTGGGTGTTAACTGAGGGAATTTATTATTATGGTAAGATGTTCCTTTTACTCCACAGTTAGTAATGCATATCAGATACTACTTTTGTGTAATACAGTATATTAGCTTCTGACAGTTTTACAAAGAAAAATTAGAAAGTCCTTCAGGAGCTTTTAATCTAGCAGGGGATTCTGATAAGCAAACGGCGTAGAACACTACCACGGCGAAATGTGTTAGAGCAGTGGTTCTCTGGTGGGCCCCAGAGCAGTAGCATCTGGAACTTGGCATTCTTGGAATCAGATGCTCTCAGGGTGGGGCCCAGCAATCCACTTTTAGTAGGCCCTCCAGGTGCTTCTGGTGCACTGCGGTGTCTCCAGAGGTCCAGGTACAGTGCTGCAGGAATGCAGAAGAGCCGTTCATGCCAGCTGAGTGAGATCAGAACGACACTAAAGAAGAGGCAGAGGCGCCAGGTGAGCTGGGCCTTGCTGGACTCTTTCAGTAGTCAGAAATTCTCTAAGGACAAATTCTTGAGCAGTGTGAGAGGTCTTAAATGGTCTCCCTTGAATCCATATCCTATATACAGTACACTGGAACCGCTTTTTAAATGCATTTTGAGCCTTTAAAACTTTTTGATCCATTTTAAAACATTTTGCATTTTCAGATTTCTCTGTAGCTCCCTTTGCATTATCATGTGCAGCTGAGTTCTTAATGTGGCAATTGTGTCAGTCAGGATTTTTTTTTTTCTATTAAAAATGGCAGGTGCCAAGTTGGGATTCCTGGGCTCAGGTGGCTGAATGTTGACAGTCACTACAGAATTGAAGGAATTACACCAGGAACCATGGCCTCAAGGACTGGGATAGACATTCAGCATACCTGGGACTCACCTTTGTTTTAAAAAATTTCATCTGTTTCCTCTTCTTTTGCATATTGGGCTCATTCTTGACAAATGCAGACAAACACATTTTAAAAATCTTTAACCCCTAACACTTAGCAAAGTTTCTGGTATATAGTAAGCAAATGTAAAGTATATGAATGAAAAGAATAAATGAATGAGTACGTGAAGATACATGGTGAATTAGGTGAATAATCAAATCTGTCAAGAATGTCAAATTTTGTTGTTGTTGTTGTTGTTGATCCTTACCCAAGGAGGTTTTTTTCATTGATTTTTAGAGAGAGTGCAAGTGTTGGAGGAGGCGCGGGAAGAGGGGGGGTGGGGAAAGACATTGATGTGAGAGAGAAGCATTGATTAAATGCTTCATGTATGCACCCTGACCAGAGCCCAAGGATCGAACCTACATCCAGGTACATGCACTTGGAATCGAACCTGAGACTCTTTGGTCCGCAGGCTGGTGCTCGAACCACTGAGCCAAACCAGCCAGGACAAAAGTACCAAATTTGTGATGGAAAGTATTCAAACAGAAGTTGGAAACATAGGCTAAGGCTTGACTCTGGAGGCCCTGAAGGCCATGTTAAGGAGTTCAGTATGGCCCTAGCAGGTTTGGCTCAGTAGATTAGCCTGCATTAGCCTGCATACTGAAGGATCCCAGATTTGATTCCGGTCAAGGGCACATGTCCAGGTTGTGGCCTTGATTCCCAGTAGGGAGTATATGCAAGAGACAGCCGATCAATGTTTCTCTCTCATCATTGATGTTTCTCTCTCTCTCTCTCACTCTCTCTCCCTCCCTCCT